CAATTGATTCAAGTAACATTGAGAGTTTGCAAAATTGCACACTTGTCGAAGGTTTCATTCAAATTCTCCGCCATCCTTTCGAAAATCACCGAAAATTTTTCACCGACGGGTTTGTTTCGTTTTATCATTTTCCCAGTGATATCAAAGGTCTCTAGTTAATAAGATGTCGACCTCATCATGCTCTAGAAATAGCAGACTTCGAGACGAGATGTTGGTGCTAAAAATATGTCCAATTTATTTCACTATTACTTAGCGTTTTGTGACGAAAAAGCGTTAATTAAGCTGCTTTAGGCTAACAGCTTACTAAACACTTAATATCAAGTGAACATGGTGTATACCAGTAGATTACGAAGTCTAGCAAGTGTTTTTTCAAGGAAAGACGTTGAGGTGGTAACTTTTTTAAAAGACGAAATGAATGTCAGATTCGCCAGCAGGCTGATCTTCAGACGATGTAGCACTAATTAAAGCAAATGGAAAAGTAGTCAGCTAGGTACCATTCCACAAATTGCATCTAGTCAAAGTAAGCATTTATCCCGATTTCTTAGTCATTAAAACAACTTTATTTATTTTTCAGGCGGCCGCCAATTAACATCACTGCACTGACAATTCCTATGCTCGAAGCGTTGAGCAATGTGAAAATTGTTACCGAATATGTGGAGGTACAAGCTGCTGAATATTCACCAAAATCGTTAAATTTCCTGCGCAGCTTGACAACAATCGAAGGAAGAAAACTTTCGTAAGTTCCTTTTCCTTCAAAAAGTTGAAAAAAAGCTGCGTACAAAGCTATTTCTTGATCTCATCAAAACTTACTTCGTGAATGAACCTTTTTTCTGAAATTTTCATATTTGTTTGTAGTTTAGCTTTTTTTTCGCCAAGGAATATCAATTTAACTCACATACTTGCTCGCCAAGACCTTATTTGAAGGCAGAAACAGAAATGCAGACAATGGTGGGATGACGAGTTATATGGGTTTATGATGCTAAGCATGAAATTAAATGCCAAATAAATGCTAGTGTTAAAACTCCATTTGTATCTGCGCTAGATGTGAAATAGAGATATT